CTGGGTTGTTGCCCTCCTACGGACTCCTCCACGTCTCCTGATGTACTAGCCTGTCTCCTGGTAGCGCCTCCATGCTCTGGACACTACGCTGACAGACACAGCAAACCTTCTTGCTCAGCTGGAATGGTGCTGGGGGCTGTCTGTGGCTGGAGGGATCACTGACAGGCTCCCTGGCACAGGCCCTGCCTCCAAACAAAGCCCCGCCTCCTGAACATAAGTCCCTCCTCCCACACATAAGCCCCACCCCTGCCGTTAAGCAGCAGACCAATGTGTGTATGGACTCAGCAGTGTGTATGTGTGTATGGACTCAGCAGTCTGTGTTTTTTTTGTGTGTGTATGGACTCAGCAGTCTGTGTGTATGGACTCAGCAGTGTGTGTGTGTGTGTGTGTGTGTGGACTCAGCAGTCTGTGTGTGTGTGTGTGTTTGGACTCAGCAGTCTCTGTGTGTCTGTGTGTATGGACTTAGCAGTCTATGTGTCTGTGTTTGTATGGACTCAGCAGTCTCTGTGTGTGTGTGTGTGTGTGTGTGTATGGACTCAGCAGTCTGTATGTGTGTATGGACTCAGCAATGTGTGTGTGTGTGTGTGGACTCAGCAGTCTGTACGTGTGTATGGACTCAGCAGTCTGTGTTTGTGTCTGTGTATGGACTCAGCAGTCTGTGTGTATGGACTCAGCAGTGTGTGTGTGTGTGTGTGTGTGTGTATGTGTATGGACTCAGCAGTCTGTGTGTGTGTGTGTTTGGACTCAGCAGTCTCTGTGTCTGTTTGAATGGACTCAGCAGTCTGTGCGTGTGTGTGGACTCAGCAGTCTGTATGTATGTGTGTATGGACTCAGCAGTCGGTGTGTCTGTGTTTGTATGGACTCAGCAGTCTGTGTGTGTGTGTGTATGGACTCGGCAGTCTGTGTGTGTGTGTGTGTAAGGACTCAGCAGTCTCTGTGTGTGTATATGGACTCAGCAGTCTGTCTGTGTGTGTATGTACACAGCAGTCTGTGTGTGTGTGTGTTTGGACTCAGCAGTCTGTGTGTGTGTGTGTGTGTGTAGGGACTCAGCAGTCTGTGTGTCTGTGTGTGTGTGTGTGTGTTTGTATGGACTCAGCAGTCTGTGTGTGTGTGTATGGACTCAGCAGTCTGTGTGTGTGTGTGTGTTTGTATGGACTCAGCAGTCTGTGTGTGTGTGTATGGACTCACCAGTCTGTGTGTCTGTGTTTGTATGGACTCAGCAGTCTGTGTGTGTATGGACTCGGAAGTCTCTGTGTGTGTGTACGGACTCAGCAGTCTGTATGTATGTGTATGGACTCAGCAGTCTCTGTGTGTGTGTGTGTGTGTGTGTGTGTGTATGGATTCAGCAGTCTGTGTGTGTGTCTGTGTGTGTATGGACTCAGCAGTGTGTGTGTATGGACTCAGTAGTCTATGTGTCTATGTTTGTATGGACTCAGCAGTGTGTGTGTGTGTGTGTGTGTGTGTGGACTCAGCAGTCTGTATGTATGTGTGTAGACTCAGCAGCCTGTCTCCTGGTAGCGCCTCCATGCTCTGGACACTACGCTGACAGACACAGCAAACCTTCTTGCCACAGCTTGCATTGATGTGCCATCCAGTGGCATCGCTAGGGGGTTGCCAGAGGGGGCCATGGCCCCCCCTACATCATGTTGTGCCCCCCTTAGACTCCACAAATGCCAGCAACTTGCTGGCCATGTTCTTACATTCTGTTCCCTCGGGCTGTAGCAGTGTGTTACAGTCTGGGGGAAGGAATGCAGGGCAGAGGAGCTCAGCTGGAATGGTGCTGGGGGCTGTCTGTGGCTGGAGGGAGCACTGACAGGCTCCCTGGCACAGGCCCTGCCTCCAAACAAAGCCCCGCCTCCTGAACATAAGCCCCTCCTCCCACACATAAGCCCCGCCCCTGCCGTTAAGCAGCAGACCAATGTGTGTGTATGGACTCAGCAGTGTGTATGTGTGTATGGACTCAGCAGTCTGTGTTTGTGTGTGTGTATGGACTCAGCAGTCTGTGTGTATGGACTCAGCAGTGTGTGTGTGCGTGTGTATGGACTCAGCAGTCTGTGTGTGTGTGTGTTTGGACTCAGCAGTCTCTGTGTGTCTGTGTGTATGGACTTAGCAGTCTATGTGTCTGTGTTTGTATGGACTCAGCAGTCTGTGTGTGTGTGTGTGTGTATGGACTCAGCAGTCTGTATGTGTGTATGGACTCAGCAATGTGTGTGTGTGTGTGTGGACTCAGCAGTCTGTGTTTGTGTCTGTGTATGGACTCAGCAGTCTGTGTGTATGGACTCAGCAGTGTGTGTGTGTGTGTGTGTGTGTGTGTGTGTGTGTATGTGTATGGACTCAGCAGTCTGTGTGTGTGTGTTTGGACTCAGCAGTCTGTGTATGGACTGGAGTGTGTGTGTATGTATGTGTGTGTATGGACTCAGCAGTCTGTGTGTGTGTGTGTGTGTGTTTGGACTCAGCAGTCTCTGTGTGTCTGTGTTTGAATGGACTCAGCAGTCTGTGTGTGTGTGGACTCAGCAGTCTGTATGTATGTGTATGGACTCAGCAGTCTCTGTGTGTGTATATGGACTCAGCAGTCTGTGTGTGTATGTACTCAGCAGTCTGTGTGTGTGTGTTTGGACTCAGCAGTCTGTGTGTGTGTGTGTGTGTAGGGACTCAGCAGTCTGTGTGTGTGTGTGTTTGTATGGACTCAGCAGTCTGTGTGTGTGTATGGACTCAGCAGTCTGTGTGTGTATGTGTATGGATTCACCAGTCTGTGTGTGTGTATGTGTGGACTCAGCAGTCTGTGTGTGTGTGTGTGTGTGTGTGGACTCAGCAGTCTGTATGTATGTGTGTAGACTCAGCAGTCTGTGTGTCTGTGTTTGTATGGACTCAGCAGTCTGTGTGTGTGTATGGACTCGGCAGTCTCTGTGTGTGTGTACGGACTCAGCAGTCTGTGTGTGTGTGTGTATGGACTCAGCAGTCTGTATGTATGTGTATGGACTCAGCAGTCTCTGTGTGTGTGTGTGTGTATGTATGGACTCAGCAGTCTGTGTGTGTATGGATTCAGCAGTCTGTGTGTGTGTCTGTGTGTGTATAAACTCAGCAGTGTGTGTGTATGGACTCAGCAGTCTATGTGTCTATGTTTGTATGGACTCAGCAGTCTGTGTGTGTGTGTGTGTGTGTGTGTATGGACTCAGCAGTCTGTGTGTCTGTGTGTATGGTCAGCAGTCTGTGTGTGTATGGACTCAGCAGTCTGTGTGTGTGTGTATGGACTGTATCAAGGGAAATGTGTTTTAATAATCCTTGGTGGAAAATATTGAATTATCCACCAGGGATTATTAAAAAAAAAAAAACACATTGTGTCTGGGGTGGGGTTTAACATGTGGCATGGGCGGGGTCAAACTGTGGTGAAGGCGGGGTTAAATGTGCCCCCCTACTTTTGTCCCTGGCCCACCATGTGCCCCCGCCCCTAAAAATGAATCCTAGAGACGCCACTGGTGCCATCCTGGATAAGCTGCACTACCTGAGCCACTGGTGTGGGTTGTAGACACTGTCTCATGCTACCACTAGAGTGAAAGCACCGCCAGTGTTCAAAAGTGACCAAAACATCTGCCAGGAAGCATAGGAACTGAGAAGTGGTCTGTGGTCACCACCTGCAGAACCACTCCTTTATTGGGGGTGTCTTGCTAATTGCCTATAATTTCCACCTGTTGTCTATCCCATTTGCACAACAGCATGTGATACTGATTGTCACTCAGTGTTGCTTCCTAAGTGGACAGTTTGATTTCACAGAAGTGTGATTGACTTGGAGTTACATTGTGTTGTTTAAGTGTTCCCTTTATTTTTTTGAGCAGTGTGTATATATATATATATATACATATATGTATACAGGGGCGGACTGACCACTCGGGCACTTCGGTCATGGACCGAGGGCCCGAGGCAGTCAGGGGCCCGGCAGCACAGCCATGCTCCAGCTGGAGAGATCAGATCAGAGATCTCTCCAACTGGAACGAAAAAAATAAATAAAATTATTTAATTGATAGGTTGTGGGGCCCCTGAGGCAGCGCGGGGCCCCACAACCTACCGCTGTCTAAATCCCCCCCCTCCTCCCTCCCATGAGACCTGGCAGCTTTACTAGCTCTCTGTCACTTCCAGTCCCGCGGTGCTCTGTGTGATGGGAGAGGCGGGACAGGAAGTGACACCACTTCCTGTTTACTCCTCTCACACAGAGCCCAGCGAGGGGAAGCAGCTGCAGCCGGGGAGAGAGCAGAGGAAGCAGAGAGACAGGTAGGCTCTAGATACCCCTGCCCCCCTCACTGTCACCAATCACCCTCCCCCCCTCACTGTCACTAGTCACCCCCCCTGTCACTAGTCACCCCCCCTGTCACTAGTCACCCCCCTCACTGTCACTAGTCACCCCCTCACT